ATGAAATGGAGATCTTTTTTAAAGGTTAAAACCTCATTTAATCTTATGTCTTATGGGGTTTATACTGAGTGCTATATTGTATAACTGTGGTAATTCAACTGTAAACCTAAGAATGTACAGACAGTTTTGTAAGAGATGCAGCCTAGCTCAGAAAATTGTTATTGAATATGTCAATGCAGATGTAATGAAATGCTTTTTCTAATTATGTGGTTGTTAAATAATTTAAAAAACAATTTAAAAAGCAGTTGAAAAGACAGTGAAGCATTTAATGATCAATGTATAGATTTTAAATGGATCTGGATTTCTAAATATTATTTGCTCCGTTGGTGACTTTATTGGCTTTCAGGGCTGAGTGTCTAGTGTGAACATCCAAGAATTACCATGTTCACTCTACTTCAGAAAGGGGTTTGAGAATTTAATGAATCCAGCTGAGTGTTGATGATGATGCCATCCCTCTCATTCTCTGTCCCTGTTTGCTTCTGCATCCCTTCCTTCTGTCATGTTTGGTGGCTGTCATTTTATTTATCAGTGTGCTACTATGATGTTAAAATAAATTTGGCCTTATAATGCCTTCAAAACTTACAGTAATGAACTTCAATCTAATTCTATATAAATAAACTGAAAGCCTAACGCAGAAATGTCTTGTTTTTTGTAACAGCTGAGTCTCAGCCAACTAATCACAGGCCACCAACTGACTAGACCAGGTCCAAACAAAGCCAGCACAGGGCTGAAACCAGTTTCTGCAACTCACTTTTTTTTTCTGTCTATAAACCTCCTTGCCCACACTGTTGGGGCAAAATACTCTGAACTCCTCCATTCAAACTCCAATTCATCTGAAGTTTTTCTTTTCATGGTACCAACTTCCCCCTTGAGATCAGATTTTGGTCCTTTTTTTTTGATGTCATGTCAAACCCTCTGTTGAAGTAGGTCCAATGTGGATTTTTAGATATTATTTGGTCCTTTAATATCCTCTCAATATTATTTGATCACTAAAGGATTTTCATGGCTTCTTCCAAACCCAGTCCAGCTCCATTCTTTCCTGAGCACCAGAATTCCTAACTGCTAATGAATTCCATCTAGTGTCTGTGGACAGCAACAGGAATGCCTGCTGGACCCCCGGACCCCTCATCTTCCATCTACCCCAATGCCTACCATCTTGTCGATGGACTCACCTTTCTCCTGGCCAACAAATCTTTGATTTTGGAGTCTTCCTGGACTCGTCTTTGCTGGTCACTCCTAGTCAGTGCCTAAATTTTTCTCTTACATTTTCCCTGCCTTACTATACCAGTTATTTCTCACCTGGTATTTGTAATGACCCTTGACCTGGCTTCTAATGGACCTTCTCTTTCCATTTCAAATCCACTGCCAGGTACTCTAAAGGGTACCTTAGATCCTGTCATCTCCCTATTCAAAATGTCAAGTGTTTTCTGTTGTCTGTGGAAGTGGCACATTTTTTTTGGCCAATGAACCAAGTTCCTTTGTAAATTTCCCCAGTATTCTCTGAGTCTGATGTTCTGGATTGTTCTTTACTTATTCTGTGAGAAGAGTTTAAGATTCATCAAATTCACCTAACTTTTGTGGGGTGTGTGTGTGGGGAGAGATGGCAATTGAATCTAGGGCTTTGGGCATGTTAGGTAAACACTACCACTGAGCTATGCCCCCTACCCTTAGCTTTTGAGGACAGCTTTCACTTTGTAGCCCAGGCTGCCCTCAAGCTCATGTTCCTCCTGCCTTAGCATCCCAAGTGCTGGGATTACAGGCACGTGCCACCTAGCATAGCTTCATTAAATTTTTATAGAAGCAACATCATTGATAAAGAGGCATCAATATATTAAAAACTCCCATAATGAAAAGGGACTTAAGAATTCACCTTCAAGAACTTGGTCAACACATTGAAATGCTGCCTGAACATTTCCTTGTTCTAGGTTTTTCTCAGGTCCAATGAATGATGTAGTGCATCCTATGGGAGGCAACAAAGAAAAGGTATTATTAATGTTGTTCAGTTGGAGTTCTAACTTTGGTCACTGTCCTAGTTTGTTTCTTCATTGCTGTGACAAAATACTCTGACCAATACCAACTTGGGGAGGAAAGGGCTTATTCAGCTTACATCTTCCAGGTCACAGTTCATCAGGGAGCCCAAGGTAGGAACTCAGGGCAGGAACCTGGAAGCAGGAGCTGGAGCACAGGCGGTGGAGGAATGCTGCTTACTGGCTTGCTCCCCTGGCCCCTGCTCAGCCTGCTTTTTTATGCAACACAGGCCCACCTGCCCAGGGGTGGCACCACCCACAGTGGACTGGGCCCTCCCACATCACTCATCAAGAAGATGCCCCTCAGACACGGCCACAGGCCAGTTCAATAGAGACAATTCCCCAATTGAGGCTCCCTCAAACCAGGTGTGTCAAGTTGACACTAAAGCTATCCAGCACAGTCACCTAATAATATTTCAGAAATATTAAGTTGTTCACCCCTCACACCAAAACCCACACATGATGTTGATTATTGATCTCAGCATTCCCTAGGATAGTACGAATTTCAAACATGACTTCCTAGTGCTTCACTGAGCACAGTGACACCTGTCAGATCCTGTTTCCTGAACTGGCAAATTTCAGAAAATATGATCACCATATAATTGAGCCCATTATGAAACTATGCATGTCAAGTTCCCCTGAATTTGGGACTCCTTTATCTCACTTAATATGCAGAACAAACCTGTTACGAAGGCTGAATGCTAGATTAGTCTAAACCCTTAGACTGACTTTAGAGTTCATGCACCCATCCTCATTCTTGGGTAGGAATTTTGATGACTATATTACAACAGAATGTCTGGTATTTCTGGGTATTTCAGTACCCAGACCTGCATAGAAACATAACCTATATGCTTTGATTTAGTTAAGGTCTCCTCAAAATTTCACTTGCTTATATTTTCTATTTTTATGAAATTTTTTCAGTTATATCTAAAACTTCTTTTTCAAAATTAAACAGCACATTCCAATGTTTTAAAAGTGAAACTACATGTCAATATATTTGGTGCTGAGTTCCGCTCCCCCTTATATCTGCGTGGTTTCCACTTCTCCTTTCACACCATTATTCGTTCCTTATGTATTCTTCTAGAATGTCTATATATGCAAATAAAAATAAATAGAAATTTATATTCTTCCATTCCTTACTCTGTATGCCTTTCTGTTTTGCCTTTCACTTATAAATATAACTTAGAGATCTTTCTTTAGTCAAGCATAGAGAATATGCTTATAAAATAACTTTTTTTTTTGACAGAGTGCTACTTCTGCCTGATTTTGTATAAATATGGCCTTGAAGTCAGAGGTATGACCCTCTTTGCCAGCCTGCCTGTGTGTTTGCCTGTAGGTCCATGTGTCTGGCTCCATGCAGCCTGTGCCTTGGTGCTTTCCAGTGGCTGCTGCTTAGTGGCCTTTGTGCTATTGAATAAAGTATGTCTTATCTTTCCACAGCTCCTCTCAATCTTCTATCCTCCCATGATCCTCCTTCTTTCTTGGCATTAGAGCTTGTACCTCATGTATGTGTTTTTCATACTATGTGAGAAATTCCATAAGGTTAGGGGTTTCATGAGCACTATAGTAATAATATCCTTGGGAACTCTCTAGAAAGGCTTACTGCTAAATGGCCCAAAGACAGAACAGATGCTGAAGTTACCTGAACTGTCACAATCACAGGCTCCACATCTTGATACACAATCTTCACCTTTTTTGCAGCCTTCTTTGCAGAATGTGCAGCCACTGCACAGACAATCTGACCCACACAAATCACCTGAGAAGAAACAGAGCGGGCAACACACCAGAAGGGAATGAAAAAGTGAACCAGCAAGGTCTTTGTCAACCCAGAGAGGAAGAAGGGCTGCTGTTGGGATGGTGTAGGGCACAACTTATAGTAGAGAACATGGGCTGGTGTGGGTACTGCCTCTGCCAAACTAGCAATGTGCCTAAGACAACTTAAAAACATCTATGCCTTGAGGTCTTCATCTTAAAAGAAAGAGAACTGTGCCAGCTCAGTCTGATGTCATTTGGGAGTGTTTGTGGTCAGTGTGTCTCAAGTCCCCTGTGCAATAATACATTCCAGGGAACAACAGCTGCCGTTATCATTGATGTGCCTTGAGAGTCTTAGGCACTACCATACTACCTCATCCTGTGCATACAGGCTCTCTTCATCTCTGCCGTTTTCCCCAGGAACATCCTGAGCTGTTATCACATCAACCACACCAGGTGATGCCAGGGCCTCAGAGGCATCAAGGGAGCTGGGAAAGAAATGAAACCATGATGTGTTACCAGATAATGTGGGCCTCATCTTTGTGAAGGTAGAAATTCCAAGAAACCTGTGCTGCACGTGAAGATCACTAGGTAGGGCCATAATGCAGAGGATCTTCACATGAGGCAAACGTGGAAGGAGGTGGAGGGCCTTGGTTTCGATGGGTAAAGATTAGATTCCCCTTCCAAGGAAGGTGTATGTTCATGTCCATTGACCAGTGCTCAGCTGGTGGCACTTTGAGGAGCTTGGGCTCCTCTGAAGTAGACAGGAAAAGGCAGAGAGAATCACAGCTTTTGGAATCTCATGAGCCAAGAAAGTTGTTCCTGCCCCACTATGTTCTCAGGTAATAACAGCCAGTGCTTCAGATAAAAGCTTGCTCCGATACACTTCCGGGTCCACTGCTTCCAATCTTCTCTAATTTTCTCTTATCAAAGTATAGGCTGAGAACACTTTTCTTGTGAAATACCCCAGTGTTCTGAGGACTGAGATCCGAGAAGGTTGCTAATAGGTAACCATGTCCTCCTTGGGTGCCTGCTAGGTATTCCAGACCTCCCAACTCCACCCTCATTACTTACATAATTCGAGCATGTGGCCTGTTGCTGGTGACCACAGCCAGGAAGAGTTCCTCTGCCAAGACAGGCATATCATCACAGAATACTGCCTCCCCTGTGCTGTGTTTAATGCCAGACTGATGCATAATGGGGCACCTGACTGGGTCTTGCAAGGATTGCTGGGGGTCTACACCCTGTGTTAAAAATACAAAACAAAATACAAAGTAAATAGATTAAACAGGAACTCTCATGAACTGCTGGTACCAGCCAGCCAAGATAAACAGCACCTGGAAGGGGGAGTGAGGATGAAAGAAAAACAAGAGACAGAGAAAGATCCTTGGGAGGACTGTCAGTAGAGACTGCTGCCCTGGTTTATTTTTGCTCGGCCTTTTTATACAGTAGAACATCAGACAGCCACTGTCTGCTTAGCTCGATTAGCCTCAACAGCTGTTTTTTCCCACCTTTATCTGAGGGTCAAGGAACGGTCAAATACTTGTGAGTTCCATCATTTAATTCCATCCATAATTTCTCTAAATTATCAACACATTCCTCCTGACTTGGCAGAACAATTCGGTACTGGTGTACAAAACACACAAACTCTTGAGTCAAGGTGAAAGATCATAAAGTAAACAAGCAAGCCTGCCACAGCTCAATGTACATAATGGCTATACTAACAGCTCCCAACAATGAACCAGGAGAATCTACTATGAAATGGGTGTCTTTCCTGTTTTCTTGAGGAAAACATTCCAAAGTAGCTTAGTTCAGCTCTTTCCCATTTCTTGTCTGTTTGGATCCAATGGGTACATACGTATGGTGATAAGATAAATTGGTACTAGATCTGGGTGAAGATTGATTCTGTGACAGCTAGTATATGGGAAATCGCTTTCCTGAGAAAACTTGAATGTTTTATAAAACAGATCTTAGAAGCCACTAAAGGCAAGAATGTCCATTACCGGTGGGCCCATGTGCTCCTGTGTCACTGAGGTAGGGGGAAGCTGTGCAGCTAGCTCTGTGAAGTCTTTTCCGACAGAGCAGTGGTACTGATGGAGTGTCAGGTGGGAATCAGAGGGACAGGAGTTCTAGCCCCACTTCTCCATAAGTAACTCTAGGCAGGAGTTTTCAAATGTTTGTTTTAAACTCTTTGTGTTTCTATACCTGAAAATGAAGGTGTGAGATTAGAACCATGATTTTCAACTAAAAACATAATTTCATCATTTTAATTTGCAAAATAATACGCACACACATACATATATATAGATGCATATATATATATAAAGATTTTATTTTTAAAATTATGTGTGTGTGTGTGTCTGTGTGGGAGTATATGTATTAATGTGAGTGCAGGTACCCTCAGATACCAGGATAGGGTGTTGGATCCCCTTGAGCTAGAGATATAGGTGGTTGTGATCTGCCTTATATTGATGCTGAGAACCAAACTCAGGTCCTCTGAAAGACCAGTATACTCTCTTAACTGCTGAGTCATCTCTGCAGCCCCATGAGAGTATATATTTTAAAGTCATATGTGTGTGGTGTATGCATGTGTGTATGTGTGTTTGTTGGTGTGCTTGCTTGTGCATGTGGACATAGAGACCAGAGGTCTGTATCGAGTCATCTTCCTTTATCACTCTCCACCTTATTTTTTGAGACAGGTTCTCTCATTGAACCTGGAACTTATTGCTTTGACTAGACTGGCTGACCTGCAGGTCCCTGGGATCCACCTATAAGGGCTGAACCCTTACATTCTGTGATTTCTTGTCACCAGTCACCCAAGTAACCCAGTGGGTAATTTGTCCCTTGAGCTGTCTCCCAGTGGTTCTGGGGATAAACACCAGGCAATTTTTGGACAAGTCTGATTGGACCAATAACAGACCCAGCTACAGTTTATTAACTGATGCTAGTGGGAGGGCCAGGCTTTCTGTTTGGGAAACAAATTTGAAGACTGCTCAGTCCTCCGCCCCGGTGGTCCAGAGTGGACAGTGGTGGATCAGCCTGGGGTCCTGAAGGCCATGTGCACATGATCATATGTCACATGAGAGCATAACGAACCTCCTTTTAGCCAGAGGGCTCAGCTGAAAAATCCTTTTCCTACATCCTCCTGAACTTCCAGCTGCCTCTTTGCTATCCTGCTGTCTTCAGGTCCATTTTATGTTCATTGTACTGTGATTGAATCAATATGAAACATAACAGATAAAATTTACCAATAGGCATATAAAAAGATGGAATTTCAGTAGTAACTGAAGTAATACTAAGCCAAACAACAAGATAGATTCTTTCTCTAAATTGTCAAAGATTTGAATATATAATATCCAGTATTGGAAAGGGTGTAATGAAAGGAGTCACTGAGAGTCCAGCAGCAGGGGGCAGTAGAGACCTCCTGTGCGGAGTCTGTTTTATGCTCTAAGCTTACAAAAGTGAGTTTTTCTATCACATGGTTTCTGAGGAGCCCCTGCAGCAAGAAAGGACATGTGCTATCAGTTCTCACCATCTTCTGGGTGGCCCTGGGTAGCAGGTGGCTGAAGGTTATCTGGAGAGCCTTCTTGCCAGGTGTCACATTACTTTCCTGAGGAGACTTGAACAAATGTCTGTTCACCCCAAGTAGGGCACCAATGACAGGACAGAAGAATGCCCAGCTGCTAACAGTGAGAACTGAAACAATCTTTCTAAAGGCCATAGTTTTTCCCCTCTTTTAAATTGAATTTTTGCAAATTTCATACGATGTGTTTTGATCATATTTAGACTCCCTTGCATATTTGCACCTACCTTACTAACCTCCCAGTACACACACACACACATGTGTGTGTGTGTAACCTCCCACTATAACACACACACACACATACACACACACACATGTTCCTAGAGAGTAAGGGTTGTGCACCCAAATGCCCTTTGGTGTGGGGTCATTCACTGGCGCCTGGTCAACTTACCAAGAATCTTACTCTTAAACAGGACTGAATTGCCCCTTCCCAGCAGATATTGGTTGCCAATAGTTCCTTTGGTAGGGTTAGGGTTTCTTACCCACTTCCCCACATCTATGCTGGGATTTTGTCTGGCTTGAGCTTACACAGACTTGGGCATGCTGTCAGCATTACTTTACAGTAATTACTTTTCAAGTAACTGCTCCGCTGTCTGGAACTCTCCTTGTGGTTATCCACCACCTCTGGCTCCTACAATCTTCCTGCCCCTCTTCTGTAATGATCCCTGAGCCTTGGGAGGCAGGTCTCTGATATAGGTGTCTTATTCAGGGATAAGCAGTCTTCAGTAAAGACCATAGTTTTAAGAGAGTAAAAGATTATATGCCCAGGAATCTGAAATGAGCATATAATTGGAAATGTCTGGAGTATTCACTAAAACATCATTTGCTCCCAACAGTGAGGATTGGTTGAATAAATTATGGAACATTCAAGTAAATTAAAAACTGTTCCTCACTATGTATTCATTAAGAATCTTATTTTGAAAAATATTTAGTGACATGGAAAATGTTATAAGATGTAGGATTATAGATACAATATACTCATTAAAATGTATTTTATTTATTCATATGTTAATATATACTCTGCTAATTCCTAAGATAATAGGAAGTTTGTTAAAATTACAATGTGTTAAAAATTATCCAAAGCTTGGAAAAAGACAGAAGAATGGCTGCATCTGTTTTCAGTGCCAGATGCACAGTCTGGCCAGGACATTCCCAGTCACCTTGCTCTCCAGGGAAAGATCCTTTGTTCCACTTACTATTTAGCACTGATGAGGGTGGAGACTGCAGCGCTTGCTTTGTTTCCCAGTAGAGAACTGAATCATTTGTTCCCTGTGGGAAAGCCTGACTCCAAGGTTACAGTTTCCCTGAAAGGTATTTCTAGTTTTGCCTCTAAGCCACCACCATTCAGCACTCTGGTGTCTCTGCACTCTGTCTTTTACTGACAGTCATTGACTTTTGTTGGCTTCCTCATTCATGAGTTGAATACATTTCTGATAGATGTTTACTTTAGATTTTTATATACATACATACTTTTACAGCACATATATCTTATAGGATATTTTAATTTTCTTCTTTATATTCTTCTGTATTTGTCAAATGGTCATTAAAGGGCATTTTACTTCTATAATGAGAAAATGAGAACATGTATTTATGTACATATATACAACCTATCTTTATTTCTCTGTCCACACTTTCCCTAACCCTGTACCCAGTGAAGGGTAGCTTTGTAGTCACACACACACACACACACACACACACACACACACACACACACACACACATCATGCTCCCCACTATAGTTTGGGTCTGAATTAGTCCCCAAAGGCTCATGTGTTGAAGGTCTGCTCACTAGCCTGTGCTGCTCCTGGGAGGTGACAGAACCTTTAGGAGGTTGAACCTAGTGAAGGAAGTTAGGTCACTGGGGCATGGCCTTGAAGAGTGTATTATGACCATGTCCCTTTCCACTCTTTTTCTTTACTTGGGTTTGCCATGAGGCCATGAGATGAGCAGTTTGGCTCCATACACACTGTTGTTCACGAGGTTCTACCTCACCACAGTCTCCAGAACAGTACAGCCCACCAATCATGGGTGCAAATTCCTGAAACCATGAGCCCAAATAAACCTTTCCTCTTTTTAAAGTTGATTTATTTCAGGTATTTTATAATAATAATGGAAAACTGATAAACAGTTTCCTTGACAGCTAATCTGCTTACTAGCTAATTGTAGAGGCGTCTGCCATCATAGTCAGCTGAGCTGGACCTCAGGCTGACTTCTTCAGTGGGTAATACTTTTCTTGGAAACAGGAGTCTGAGTCCCATATAAGTGACTAGAAAGGGCAAGAGGGTTGTCACCTATGCTGGGGTGGAATCTTTTGGTGAGGTAACTGTTTTGGGGTCACCCACATTCCTGTATGCAACCCCTCCCCATGCTTTTGTGAGTTAGTCCAATAACCTCATTCTTTTACTCAACTGGGCTTGGATGGGACTGTTTTTCTGTCCTGTCATTGGTGCCCTACTTGGGATGAACAGACATTTGTTCAAGTCTCCTCAGGAAAATAACATGACACCTGGCAAGAAGGCTCTCCAGATAACCTCCAGCCGCCTGCTACCCAGGGCCACCCAGAAGATGGTGAGAACTGATAGCACATGTCCTTTCTTGCTGCAGGGGTGCCTCAGAAACCACATGGTAGAAAAAGTCACTTTTTTAAGCTTAGAGCATAAAACAGACTCCGCACAGGAGGTCTCTGCTGCCCCCTGCTGCTGGACTCTCAGTGACTCCCTGACCGTCTTATATTTTATGAGAAACTGCTTGCAGAAAACCATTTCAAATTCACTAAGCCCTGGGTATTGTCAAAATTTTAAATTGTGGCCGTTCTCATAGATTTAAACTTTATCTCATGGCTCTGTTAATTTGCATTTTAAAAACTCGGAGGGAAGCTCTACAGAGCTTAATGTTTTCAATTCATTGTCCCGGTGACCTGACATTTGCTTATTTTTATTGATTTATAAAAGTTTTTGCTGCAAATGTTTCTTACTTATATTTCAGGTTTTCTCTTTTATTCAGTCAAATTTGTCAGTCTTTTCCTTTATGGCTTCTGGGTTTCATGTTTATATTTAAAGGCACGGACTTAAAAAAATTTCACATGGGGACTGGAGAGATGGCTCAGCGGTTAAGAGCACTGACTGCTCTTGCAGAGGACCGGGGTTCGATTCCCAGCACCCACATGGTGGCTATGAACCGTCCTTAACTCCAGTTCCAGGGGAATCTGAAGTTCTCTTCTGACCTCCGCGGCATTGCACGACATGGGTGCACTCACATACATGCAGGCAATTCACTCATGCACATAAAATAAAAATAATAAATAAAACTTAAAAAAAATTCATGTGTATTTTTATCTATTAATTTTATGCCTTTATTTTTGGTATTTAAAATGTTAATCAATCTGGAATTTATTTTCACTGTGAGGTGGGGAATATAGCTTTATGTCTATTTGTTTTTTAAAGTGGCTTGCATCAAAATTTTTTCTTACATACTCCGTTTTATCATTTATTTGAAATACATTTTTGCCTTTAATGATGACCCATTTTCTGGTCTAGTTCTGGACTCTGTGGGTTCTGTTAGTCTTTCAGTCTATCTGTATCGGTGCCTATAATGTTAAACTACTAGAGATAGGCTCCATTCCAGGACTCATTGCTATTATTATTGCTACCCCTCATTGTTATTATTATTTTTCATTTATTTCATAAATGCTATTTTTATATTTCTAGATAAACCTCTAAATCAAATTTCCCAAAATTTTTATTGGTATATTGATTGGGTCTCTATTTGATATTATTTAAAAGAAAATCGATGGAGGTATTACAGGGTTCCATAAGTGGTCACACACAGAGAATAAGTATCTGTGCGATGCCCAGCACTAAGTGACACATCTTCAATGGAACCTCCACACCTAAGGCTCATGGAACATAGTGGAACAGAGGCAGAGAGAACACTAATGCATCTTTCAACTCTCACCAGTGACTCTTTCTCATGCAAGAGAGGGTGATTAACCCAGAAGTCCACAATGGATCAAATTGTAGAAAATAAGAGACTTCAGAGAATGTGTCTCTGCACAGGACTCTTACATTAAACCTTACCCACCCTGGGCTCAGGGACCACTGCAGAAGAGGGAGCGGAAAGATTGTAGGAGCCAGGGTGGTGCATGAGCATAAAGAAAAAGAGTCTTCCAGGCTTCTGGGAACTTGCTCATATGAATTTACAGCAATGGTGTAAAATGGGCAGGAGGAATGGTGTAAAATGGGCAAGAGGCTCCAACCTTAGCTGAGGAACTATTGGCCGCTTGTCGCTCCTGGGTGAGGAAGGGATAAACTCACACTGAGGGACATCTGGGTACACAAACTTGACTTGATAGACCTTGGCATATATGACAGAATGCATGAAATCCTGTGGGCAGACTATGGAGGGGTACTGATAGGGGAAAGGACCTGAATATGATTAAGATGTATAAAACACACAAAACTCGATTAAAATATACACTATAAAAAGAGAAAATTGATATCTTTACACAGTATGTCTTCCTAGATAACGACTACATTTAGTCCTTATGTTCAAGTATTACTTTTTTTTAAAGTTTATCATTAGTTTAAAAGTTCACTTTGTGCGGGCGTGGTGGTGTGTGCCTTTAATCCCAGCTCTTGTGAGGCAGAGACAGGTGGATGTCTGTGAGATCGAGGCTACTCTGGTTCACATTGTGACTTCCAGGTCAGCTGTGACTAGAGAGACCCTGTTGAAAAAACAACCAACAAAAAGACCAAAAAAAAAAGTTAACTTTGTGTAAGTACTACATATGTCTTTCTGGTTTCATTTGTAGAACTTTATTTTGGTCTGTTTGTCTGGTTGTTTTCTTGTTTTGTTTTGTTTTGTTTTTGACAGGGTCTTCCTAGTCCCAGCCCACCTGCAACTCACTGTGTAGACCAAGCTGGCTCCAACCTCACAGAGATCTGCCTGCCTCTGCCTTCTAAGGGCAGGGATTAAAGAGCTTTATTTTTTTGTTTGCTATTGCCGATGGGAACTCTGTTCCATTGCATTTTCTAACTGACTACTGTTTATGAATACCATTCCATAGTTGAACCTTTCTTTACACTTGAGACCACAATAAAAACTTGAAATTCAAAGGCCAAAGACAGCTACAGCTGGGCTTGGCTGTTCTGTTCATTCAGAAAGTGTACTGACCTCAAAGGACTGCATCCTGTGAGGCATGGTCAAGGGAAAGTCTTCCAGAATGTTTAAGAGTTTCTTGGAGATGTCAGGGTATCCATGGGGGTCCTGGAACAAAGATGCTTTGGTTATTTAAATGGAAAGCATTTACTATAAGATAGGGCTGAGAAAAAAATTTAAATGTGTATTGCTGCATGGTCTTCAGGCTTGTTTCCTTGCTTTGGGAAAGTTTAAACGAAAGAACTCTTTGGGTTTCGTCCACTAAGGACCTCAGAAACAGCTTAAAACACAACTATGATCAGGATATTACATTGTGATCCTTTAAGCTTCCCAGCCTGAGAGAGGCTAGAAGTATCTAGAACAAGCTGTATTCTGCAGGGCATCTGAAAGATAAACACATCTTTATCCTTATCTTTAATTGTTGCAACACATCTAAGTAAAATCTGAAGAGGGAAGCTGATAGTGAGAGTTTGGCATTCCACCATTCCTCCAGGGGCTGAAGCTGGAAGGGAGATTTCTTCTAGAACCAGCCTGCAAGCTTCATTCAGCAACCCTTCATCCCAACACCTAGACATACACAAAAAGAAATCCAACTAGTTTAGAATAGTAAGGGGCAAACAGGTATCTAATGCTTTCAAAAACTCAAATATATAAGGTTGCTAAAGTCTGCTTTTCCACATAGGAGTATTATCACACACTATTATCACACGCTAAGGCCTTCGTGCATGCTGTTTTCTTTTAAATGTTGCTTACTGTAAAGTACAATGATGCTAAGGAGAAGACACAGCCCCTTCTCTTTGATAACCATGTTAATTGCCACTACTCAAAGGGCGACAGACTTATTTGATGAGTATATGTTTATAAGTCACCTTCTGATAAGCTTCTGGCAGGCTTTGTTTACGCTGACTGTAGTGGTGCCAACTCCTCCATATGAGATGCTTAAGTCCACAATGGTGTTCGTGTCTTCTTTGAAAAGGACTCGCATTCCCGCGTTTGAAATCGCAAGGGCATTTTGCTGACGTGGGGCCTGTCTGAAAGCTGATACAAACTCCCACTGGAAAATGAAAATGTTTATTTTGAAATGTTTCAAATATGTATGTCTTAAAAGCAGTAGGATGAATACCTAGAGATCCTTTACCCAGATTCGCTGATGTACCAGTGACTGATCATGTATACCTACTCTCGCTTGAGCCATACACACTTGTACACAGATGCTCATATGTTCACATGAATACTCTCACAGAGCCTTAGTTAAGACACTTGATATCACTGATATCATAATACCTGATCAGTAAATATTTCTATACCTGATCAGTAAATATTTCTATAAGTAGCTCCTAAGATACAAGGGCTTTCTTCTTTATATAGTTGACAGCACTGTCGTGGTAACAAGCCTTATCAATGGTATTATTTAGCAAACTGTTCATATTCAAATTTCCCCAAGTATACAAGCAGGACTCCTATGCTCGCCCTCAGCCATGAAGATGCCTTCTTCATAAATATTGATCTTGGCATCTTTATTACCGAAGAGTTTTCTAAATTTTTCTTCTTGGTCTTTCATGACACTGACATTTGGGGAATCAGGCTGTTTTGTGGACTATCCCAATCCCACAATTTGGGTTTTCTCAGATTATATGTTTATGAACTGATTTAGGTTAAACTTAGTGTGTGTGTGGGGCTGCAGGAACACAACATGGGTGATGTGGCACAGGATGTGCTGATTCATTCATTTCAGAGTCACCCCACTTGTTTTTACAGACACCCCCATGAAAACTCTGGAGCTGGAATAGGCTCCACATTCAGAACACCGCCTCTCTTCTTGTTTGGCAAAACTTTACTGGTCTCGATCCAGAGAGCCTCTGTATGTTGGGGTTTGCTGATCAGTCAGTAATAGCAAATCTCTAATTTCATTGTTCTGATTTATTCAGCCATATCTCTGAACTTAATCTAAAATGTCATTCTGTAAGCCTCAGCAGAAAGAAGATATCTAGTAATGTTTTGAGTAAATGATGGTGACTGTCCTTGACATGCATCTAGCACTCAGTAGTCTCTCCATTAATGTTGAATGAATAAATGTCACTGAGGAGAAGTGTCAACGAAATTGAGTGTCCTGGCAATGACAATTGATTGTCATTTATTGATTGAGTAGATACAGAAAACAAGATCTGAGATACAATAGCAATTTCCACATTTGTTCAGATTTCCAACTGGCAAACAGATGTGGCCATTCAACAAAGAGCAAGCCAAAGCTGTATTTCCCCATCAGTGAGTGCATGAAATCCCAATAGGCTGAGGGCATCTTAGCATAGCCAGAGTGCACTGGGTGCCATACACATTTCTCCATAGTTCTTAATCTGAAGAAAGTGTGAGGCCAAAATGACATTATAAACTATTCTTTATTTTAGCTAGCTCTTCTAAGGCAGGCGGTGGGTTTGGGTCCTGGTTCTGCCCCGTTTACCGTGAAACTTTGTTGAAATGATTAAACTCCCTTAGCCCGCAGTCTCCTTGCCTATAGACTCAGGCTATTCCTTGGTCCTTTTCACTGCCCTAATTTGTGAGTCCAAGGGTCCTAAGCTTCTAGAGCTATTGAAGAAAAGTAAGAAAATAATGCAATGTCCTGATGTTCTCCAAAGAAGCTAGCTGACTGACGTCTGTTATATTTGTCCCTACCCAGGCATGAGATATTTGCTACAAATTCTGTGTTACTACATTGCATTTAATGTAAGTGGGTATTATTAACGCTGTAACCTCATACCTTTTTAGAGACGGGAATGAAAACAGAAACTAGGACTTGCTCTGGCTTTAGGCTTGCATGTGCTGCTCCCACAAGAAAATGATCATTTAGAGGAATTTGCTGTGTTCCTTCTGTTAGAAGGGAAAAAAAAATATCCAAAGGCATTCATTATCGTAACTACTTTATTTAACCCAGTGGCATTCTTATTCTAAAAAAACATTCTAGGGGCTGCAGCTATGGTTAAGAACACTGGCTGCTCTTGCAGAGGACCCAGATTTGATTCCCAGAACTCACATGGCAGCTAACAACTATATGTAACTCCAGTTCCAGGGGATCTGACACCCTCTCCTGACCTCTGAGGGCATTGCACGACATGGGTACATTTACATACATGTAGACAATACACATAAAATTAAATATATATAAAAGAATTTATTTAAAAAATATTCTAAAGTGGAAATTAAATTGAAAAATAGCTACCCATAACATCACGACTATCCCATTGATTTTCATCTGGGAAAACAGTCTTCTACCTGTAATAACAGAGCTGTCCAGCTCATGGGAAACACTCTGCCTAGTTTATAGCATACAGCTTATGGGGCAGAAAGGTGGTGACGATGCCAGACAATGAGTGTTCTGTGGGACAGAACTTGTGAATGAGAGGGAGTGAGGGGCTGGAATGTCTGGAAAGGGATGGCAGTAAACACATTCACACCACTCATGAGGATATTGACACCGAAAAGTGAAATACAAATGACAGTCATGTTAATACATGAACCAAGTCATGAGACTATTTCAAACCCAAATCCTAAAACATAGACACACAAATTATTATTATTCTCCTAGAGAAGCCATCTTGGGGGAGGTGACACATTTATCTCCTCATGATATTTTGGGAACTTTCGGAGAGTTTGTCCTGAGCCTGGTGGTGATGAATGTTTATCCTGTAAAGACTGGTTTGATCTGTGCTCAGAGGTAATAGGCATTCAGGAGTCAGACAGATGGGAAAGGTGATAGGTCAAATTACCTAATACACTTTTTGATCAACAGTCAAGTGAAAACAGATTGATTTTTCTTGTGTAATTTGTAAAGGAGGAAGAGTTTTCTTTGGGCTCTTGTGACCCCACACAGGGGGTTACGTCCCTGGCCTGTTCTTGCTGGAACTTCTCTTCTAAGTAAGTTTATTTGACAAGGTCAGTATGAGTGACGTAGTTGTTTGATAGGTCTTTGATACCATGATAAAGCTTGTGATCCTCATGAACCTCTTCAGAGGATTCTGCTATAGTTATAAATTTTTTTATAAAAGGAAACCATGAGGGGCTGGGGCTACAGCTCAGTGGTAGAGTATTTGCCTAGCATACACAAGGCTCTGAGTTTGATCCCCAGAAAAACACACACACACACACACACACACACACACACACACACAGAGAGAGAGAGAGAGAGAGAGAGAGAGAGAGAGAGAGAGAGAGCGAGAGAGAGAGAGAGAGAACTGTGATATACTGGCCTCTGAACTAGTTCCTAACATAGAGATCCAAAACCCTTGTATTGGCAAGAGTGCTACAAGACTCTGTTGCTTTATTTTTGACCCTGTTTGCTGATATAGAACTCTTAAGAGCTGTGCAATTTCCTGAGAGATAACATGTGACACCACTCCTATTCCTTGGCATTTCCTCCTTGAAGGGAGCATCTGTGGCTCTAATGAGGTGACTCCTGGTGGGTACCTGGATAGCCAGAGGATGGGGGAATCAATCATGTGATCAGAGGATTGATATTTTAGTAAACACCAGTGGTGTCTTCAGTCACACCTACAATGAGATCTCCATAAGTACTCATAAGACTGTGTTCAGATGATCCCCCCCTAGATAGCTGAACATGTGGAGGCGCCTGGAGGGTGGTAGGCTTGAATGGAGTCTAGATGTTTCATATCCTTTCCCAAAAGCTTTGCCTTGGGCATTTTTTGCCTGGTGCTCATTACTATCCTTTATATTATCCCTTTAAGTAAATAAACAAACATAGTAAAGTGCTTCCCTGAGTTTTGAGAACCAGTGTAGCAAAATAATAGACCCAAAGGGTAGAGCCATGGGAACCCTGATTTCCATCAGAAGTTGCAGAGGCCTAGATTTGTGGTTGGCATCTGAGAGGGCATCTGAGTTCTCAACATTGGGAATGTGACGCTATCTCCCGATAAATGATGTGAGAACTGAGCTAATTTCAGTTGATGTCTGCTGGAGAACTGGTGTGAGGAAAACCCTTCCCTGTGTCTGCCATCAAAAGTTGTTCTGTGTTGAGTGGAATGTGAGAGTTTTTTAAAAAGTTAGCTTTTTTCTTTAAAGTACTAAAGTTGAACTGTAGAGAAAGTAAATGATAGATTTAAAACCTAAATATATAAGATAGGACAAAGGTGATGTTATAAAACCATTAAGACAAAACTAAGAGCAACTTGAGCTGTTTTGCATTATAGTCTTGCTCTGTAACACGAACCAGCTGCAGTGCTTTGACTTTTGGTGATGGTTAGTGTCTTACTTACTTTTTCTGTGGCTATGATAAAATGCCCTGACAAAAGCAATTTAAGGGAGAAAAGGGCTCTTTTGGCTCACAATTCAAGGGTACAGTCCATCATGGTGGGGAGGTCAAGGTGGCCTTGAAACAGCTAGTCACAATGCATTTATAGTCTGTAAGCAAAAAGTGAAGAATCTGTGCTCAGCTAGTTCCCTCCTTTTTATTCAGTCCAGGACCCAAGCCCAGGGAATGGTGCTGACCTCCTTTAGGGTGGGTCTTCCTACATCAATCAACATAATCAAGATAATCCCTCACTGGCATGAGCAGCTACTCTCCTAATCTAAACAATCCCTCACAGATGTGCTTTGAGGTTTGTCTCCTAGGTGATTATAGATCCTGTCAACTTGACAATAAACACTAACAATCACAATCAGGTAGGAAAAAAGAAATCAAGTTGAGGTGGGTCAGCCAATGATTCAATCTCTTGAACTGTCTCATTTCTGTCTACTGTCCTCCTGATATATGTGCTTCTGGGTCTATCCACAACAAAATGAAACATCAGCACTGCATCCAATGACATAGATGAGGAGTTACCATCACTCCACATTTCTGTGCTCAGTGTTTATAAAACTCTCCTCAGTACCTAGGAGGAACTCAATAGCTCACCTGTTGAAGCAACATTGAGGATGCAATTGCCTACACCCAAAACAGGGTTGAGATCAGAAGTTGGCAGCCTGCTGATAATATGGCCACCTGGGGACTAAAAGAAAGATTAATCAGCAACCTCCAGACTTTTATTTTAAGTGTTGAATTAAACAGAGGATGACATTTCTTTTCACTCTAATTCAGCAATTAGAATAAAACATGCCAAATGTAATTTCTTACTATGTACTACATATGGATCCTTATACTTGCAGACAAGCATACCAGTCACCACTCATCAAAGAAGCTTCTTTTGCAACAGATAGATACTATTACAGAGTTCCACAATGGGTCACATACAGAGATTAAGTGTCTGTGAAATGCCCAACCCTAAGTGACACATCTACAATGGAACCTCTATACCTATGGAACAAGGGATAGAAAGAATACTAAGGCATTGCTCAATTCTCATCAATGAAGCTCCCTCATGCAACAGGGAGCAATGAATCCAGGGCTCAGGAACCACTGAGGGAGACGGAGTGGAAAGATTGTAAGAGCCAGGGAAGGATGTACATGACTATGTGGAAATAGAGTTTACAGGCTCCTGGGACCTTGTTCATATGAACTTATAGCAATGGTGTCAACATGCACAAGACCCATGCAAACTCAAGCAGACAAAACTCCGGAATAGAACTGGGGAAATGGAGAGCAGGCCCCAATCTTAGCTGAAGAAATGTTGGGCAGCTGATTACTGCTAGGTGAGGAAATGTTGATCTTCTTTAAGGGAGCGACTCTAGATAGGCTGACTAGACCCCAGTGAATGAACTTGCACTGAGGGATGTCAGGGGATGCTAACTTGACTTGATAGACCTTAACATAAATGACAGAATGCATGAAATCCAGTGAGGGGGGCTTATTGGAGGGTGCCAGTGGGGAAGGGGGTATAAAGATGATCAAGATATTTTGTGTGAAATACACAAAAATTCAATAAAAATATATTTAAAAAATATAAAACATGCCAGCATGGCTCTAGATGTTTGAATGACTCATCCAAACAGAACCTAGAAAGAAAGTAAACATTACTTCAATGAGGAGAGAGCTTAAGTCATGACTTCTGATAAGAACGTCATTCTGCAGTTATGTATGTGTAGCTTGAGTGACAACAGTCAAGAAATGGTTAAGCCAAGCAACCATGGATGCTTACAAAGCTGGTGGTGGGAGGGCAGGGCTAGGATGTGGGGGGACAGGGAAGAAAGCAAGGATTGGGGGTGAAGTTGCTGAGGTAGTGAGTGTTTGAAAGAAGGGACCAAGCAGCATCCCTAGACAATGACATCTGCAGGATGGAAAAGGTTTTTCTGTTCCACAAAGCCTTATCGAGCCCTTTCTAGCTGACAGTGTAATGTAAGATTCAGTTACAAGATCCAGCACTGGAAATGTGGCCTGGAGGAAGTATTCTGTGTCAGGGAAAGCTGCCTCCTGAGATAATCCACAAATGAGGGTTCCATCAATCAAGAATTTACTTCAAATGATGAATCACAGAAAAAATGATGGAGATTACTCTAGCTGGTTGAAGGCCTTCACATAAAGATATTACAAGCATTCCAAACCAAGTAACTCATAATGTGAATGTCATGAGATACAGAAAAGGCAGCAGAAACACAAAGCCACAGTTATCAGAGAAAAGGATTCGTCAGCCTGCAGAAACAATCAGCAATTTTTTGTTATTGTTATGCTGGGGATCAAACCCAGGACCTTGTACATGGTAGGTAGGTGCTTTACTACTGAGCTCCCCTCACTCTCAGAAATTCTTTCATAGAGAGATTGAGGACTAACAAGGATAACAGGGCAATATATTATTTACTGCTTATAGTTTTTCATATGTCTATTATATTTATAGTTAATATTTCAATGTCCATATTATTATAGCAATATTACTGTCTATATTACTACAGTACTATAGAATTTCATGAAAATGTTGAGTAAATGGTGTGGCTCTCATTCATATCTGTTACCGGATCAGTTATTTTCAATAAACTCATCATCTGTCTTTATAAGATGCCAAGTCAAAGGACCTGTTTGGGGGCTTTTAAAGATACAAACTTCTGGGCTGGATAGAGAAGTTCTAAGCAGACAATATCCAAATTGTGGTGAGGGGATCAAGAAGATATCACTTTCACCCAGCAACCTGGTTCTTTAAGTGATTTATGCTAAAAGGGTATGAAATTAGGTAATCTGTCATTCAGCTGTGTGCAAAACACAGACGGACACAGCAGGAAATGAAAATAGTAACCAATACCACCTTTTCTTCCCAAAGAATCCCCACCCACAAGAGATTGCAGAGAACCTACAGCCATGTTCCTGATCTGCTGTCCAGCCAGGGTCCTCAGATGCTTCAAGAGAGCACAGTAAGTCTGTGTCCTCTCCTTGGGGAGCTTAGAGGCCACATCAGCCAAGATGTCCTTTACCTGGGCCAGGCTGATGCCAGCACCCAGAGTCAACCCTGAAAGAGAGACAGCTTTGTTAATATTCTGCAAGCCTGGAAATGAGGGAAGTGAGACGGGAAGGCCAGTGTTAGAATATGATGCTCATCAACATTCCATTTTTCTTTTTACTAAAGTAACATATACGCACTGCAGACCACCTTATAAATAAAGAGGAGACAAAAAGAGAAAAATCATACAGGATCCCTGAGAAGCAACTAAAATCATCAGAGCAGTCCACTGTTGCCTGCTATCAGGACAGACCACGTTCGCCCCTCACCCAGGGACTGCGTGGCTCTTGGCTGCCTTCTTGGCTCAATCTCTGCCTCAGCAACAGGTACTGTTTTATGATTCTGGTGCTTTATATGTACAGCTCCAACCTTCTTCAAATGATGACAACCACCTACCTTTTGATCTCACTGGGAGATGTCTCCCCAAGTTCTGGTTTGATTGGGTTTCCCTAAGTGTCTCAACCACCAAGGTGTCTCCTAGTCCCACATCTCTCATTTTGAGCATTTCCTACTAAACTTGTATCTGGTTCCACGGGATCAGTACTTAGCATTCTCTAGCTGAACCATAATCCTAAAAGACACCATGAGTAAATGCTGATCTACCTCATACATTAAGCAAGTGTTTCTGAGTACCTACTATGTGTACTGTTCTAGAGCAAAGAATATAGATAAGGTCTCCTTGTAAGTCAACATTCAGTAGGGGAAGATGATAATTAGACAAATATTAAATAATGTGACTTCAGCTATGACAAGTGCTAGCAGAGCACATATGGAAAGAGGTGCTTGCAGATACCCCCTGGTGATTTCATCCTGGTCCTTGCAAAGCATCATAGTACCTGTACCCATGCTTAGGAAATCTTGTCAGGAAACTAATAAAGTTCAGCTAGTGCATCTATACTTTGTACATTGCTTTCCTTTACCTTCCCATTTCATTCTGTATTATAGCCATGAATTTTTTAAGAAAAAAATTATAATTCATAATTGCTTACATTTCTAAGAACCGAACAGCCAGCTAGGCAGCACACACCGTTTTGATTCTGTTTTATCAGGATGGACTCAGCAGGGGGAGCTCATGATTTAATTTTGGCAAGTTGGACAAAAGGACTCTGGTGAAAAGGACATGTAGTGAGCATGATGCAAACAAGGCTTGCTTGAGCGCTTCTTGAAGCAGAGAGCATCTGAGACCAGAAGCCTTGGTCCTACATCTGTGCAAATGGATATGGTTGATGATTCAGCTCAGGGCAGAAATTCCTTCAGTAAGGTTCTGCTTTACTTAGCCAAAAGGCTAACTTAGAACCATCAGCCCAGCTCAGGAGTCCAAAGATTCATCTAGGAAGAAGATAACCGTCCACCCTTTCGCTCTCTATGGATTTTCCTGTTAAATTGTGAACTCAGGATATCAACTTACTTGATCTGCCTCATGTGACTGTGATTTATCATTGAACAAATAGAGATCTCTGCCCTTGGAGATTACAAAGCAGAATTTATTAACAACTAAATGGATGTTGAAAGAATGCTTACTACAAGGTGACCCAAAATCAATGATGCGATAAAGACTGAGAGAATGGATTGATTTTTCAGAGTCAGAATGTGAAATGACGCAGCAGTGTTGAGATCACAGGTGAACAGATTTTGTGCATGATTTTGCGTTGCTTATGAATGCCTGCAGATTCCTGCTATTCAAAGAACAACAGAATGAAACAGGTGTTTTATTATTATTTATTGCACTAGCTGTTTCTGAAAGATTAAAAGAAACTTTAAAAAGTCTTTTGAGGGGCTGGAGAGATGGCTCAGTGGTTAAGAGAATGTCCAGAGGGCCTGAGTTCAATTCCCAGCAATCTTGTGAGGTGGCTCACAACCACTTGTAATTCTAGCTCCTTGGGGGTCTAACACCCCTGGCTTCCATGGGCATCCACACTTATGTTCACAGACACAGACACAGACACAGACACACAGACACACACACACAAACACAAACACAAACACACAATTTAAAATAAAAATAGAAAAAAATTGAGACAAGATTTATAGCCCAGGATACCCTGAAGCTTTCTATATAACCCAGGCTGACCTCAGACTCATGGAAGTCCTCTTGTCTCATCCTCTTGGATGCTGAGATTACAGGTTTGAGTAGCTCTGTCTGACTCAAAAAGCAATGCTTAAAATATCCTTTTCCCCCTTAAACATATTTGTTAATGGAAAGTACACAGAAAAATGTTAAGAAGAGCATAAAAACATACAGGTTTTAATTTAGTGTTTGCAACTTTATACCTGGCTTTAAAACCAAAGAATGGGGGCTAGAGAGATGGATGACTCAGTGGTTAAGAGCACTATCTGCTCTTGCAGAGGACCCAGGTTCAGTTCCCAGCACCCACAGCTGTGGCTGACAACCGCCTATAATTCTAGTTCCTGGGAATCAGATGCCCTCTTCTGACCTCCAAGGGCATTGCATGACACAGGTGCACTTACATACATGCAGGCAATACACTCATACACATAAAATAAAATAAAATAAAATAAAAACAAAGAATGGCAGCATTTTATGTGCTTATTTACTTTCATATTTTTCCTTCCTTGAAAAGCCAAGATTACCTTTAATTAAAGTTTAAAAAGCACTGTAACTGCCATGATCTGAAAATAGCACCATTTTGAAAGCATCCCTTAGATTTGTGGAAGAAGATCCCATGGATAATAAAAGAAAATATTAATGGCAGATAAAACACTAATTACATCATCTGCTAAATACTTTCCATAGATGTTTACCAATTCTTCATTATGGCTCATTCCTAGGGAAGAAATCATGCCTTTCTCAGGAGACTTGATTTGTTAGGTCGCAACCCAGTGCTTGGCACATGCGAAAAGCCTCATAACTTTAAAACAAATTGAGAAATGGTTGTTATATGGTTTGTTCCACTTGTGCTTTTTATCGAATTGTGTTTACTTAAAGAATTGAGTCATGAAGGAGAAACAAATCAAACCTCTCCTTGGGCTGCTGTGGGGAAGTAACTGAAATGAGGGAATGGAAGATGCACCTGGCCGTGGAAATGCTGAGAGCTACTTAACACAGACCAGGGGAACCTTTCTCACGGGCTGCTGGAGGGAAGAAACAGGCGGAGTACTCCTAGAATAATGAAAATATTACAGAAAGCACAGTGAGTTTCTGGGTGAACCAGTTAACACTTTTTGAGGCCTGGTTCTTTGCAGAAAATCAAGTCTCAAGACGGAATATGCAAACATTTTCAGGATTTCTAAATTTAGATGTTCTTTTCAAAGGATCAGTCGTGGTTCAGTCTTGTTGTGCCAAATGTGTTTCCCTCCAGCTGCGTGGGCCTGTGATTTGGTTAGTGTCATACATCCTTTGCTTCCTTTGGTCAAACCATCTGCAACATATGGACCTTGTTAGAATAATGAGAACATACCTTCTTTTGTGTTAGTCACTACAAATAATTCCAAGATCCTTGAAGGAGAGATGATAACTGGATAGGAAACATTCCTGAACTTCAAATCAAGGCCTAAAAGAGAGAAGAATTATCATCACTGGAAACAAAGCCAGGTATGCTAGGCCTGGTGGCTCATGCCTGTAATTCTACTGACTCAGGAGGCAGGCAACTTACCCTGTCTCAAAAACTTAAAAAGTGGTTCTGGAAAGATGGCTCAGCATTAAGAGTGCTGGCTGCTCTTCCAGAGGTCCCAGGTTTGATTCCCAGCACCCACATGGCCATTAACAACTGTCTATAACTCCAGTTCCAGGGGATCCAATGCCCTCTTAGGACCTCCAGGGGGACTGCATGACATTGGTACACTTACATGCATGCAGGCAATACACTCATACACACAAAATAAAAATAATAAATAAAATAATTTAAAAAAAAATAAAAAGCGAGGGGGGGTGAGGATATTGCTCTGTAGTACAGCACTTATCCAGCATGTGAGACCCTAGGTTCAGTCCCCAGTGCTAGAAAACCAAAACAAAAACAGCAACAAAAAAAGGAAGAAAGAAAATAATGCACCAGCGAGGTTTCATTTAATTTCATTTTGTAAATAAAACTATGACCTAGAAGTGGTTATTACAACCCTACTAAATAAAGTAAAATATAATTATCGCAAAAGAGGCCTGCTTTCTTTCTCAGTGATTTCTTGAACTGAGACTGACCACCGACAGATTTTGTCCTCTAAAACTCAGTAAGAGAAATAGCTGTTTCACTGTTTCTTGGTACCAGAAAGAAGGAAATTTTAACATCTTCTAAATCTTATCACTTCTATAGTTGGAATAAAAGTCCAAATTGCTTTGTGGGAACCAGGAAAAAAAGTTATTTGACAAGTTGGCCATTAACTGGGCAAGCATTTTGGTTTGTGAGTAAATTCCACAATTTTCATCTCCCTTCCATAATTTAGGTCTGCATTAGGAAGGGGAAGTGGGGTCTCTGCTACTCACCAAGAGAAGTGTTGCCCATCACAAGTGGAGCACTGGGGTGCTTCATTTTCAGTTCCCGGAGGTCTTTTAGGGTTCCTGGGGCAATCCAGGTAGTCCTCTCTCCATAGAACATCAGAACTTTCTTTTGGGGATCCTCTGCCATCCTCTGCAGTATTTAAATTCAACAGGGTTGATGTCAATGGTAGAACACACAGACTTCATCACAGGTCACACACTGAACAGGTACGAACAGAGCCTGCCATGAATAACAAGTCAAAGACAGGTACTTCGTGACCTAATCAATTCATAACTAAATTCACTACATTGGATATTTACTTTTCTCATCTTTTATAACTTAAAAATGAAAGGGATTTTAATGAAACCTTAACTTAGGAACAAACAAGAACCTTATATTTGAAGGATGCAATAGCTAATGTTAAATTCCCACCCAAAGAAATAATTGTTGACAAAATTACCAATGATGACAGAGTATCAACAGAGAATTAACAACGTGGGCTGGGGGATGTACATTATTCAATATCAAGTAGAGAAATATGCTGAATATACCAGGAGACCCAGCTTCTAATCCCAGCCTAGCCATGGAGCAGCCAGCTTAACTTTGGAAAACCCCGGATCCCCTCTAGACCTGGCTCAATGTATCTGCAAATTAGAGATGACATATGAAGGTAAAACTGTTTTGCTGAACAGAAAAACGAACAGTAAAAACACAGAATGTCAAGCTAATTAAAACCAGCAGTGATGATTCCACCACTTTCACCAGCATTTATGATTTCCTAAGAAAGACTGAAAGGTTCCAAAGCCACAGCTGGATTTTTCTCAATTAGCTGTAGTTAGTGGGCAGAATTTCTTTAGGATTTTCTTCCATCAATTTCTCTAGAACCAATGGCTGGATAGGTAGCAGCATGGTAACATGATCAAGGAGGAAATAAGTTCATCCGGGAAATTTCATGCTTAGTCAAGAAGCCCTTTACTTTCATTTTCCTTCCTCTTTAGTGAACTTCTGTGCTCTCTGTTTTGATTTGATACACAGATCATTTAATATGCTCATATTTTCTCTGTCCAAAGTTTTTCCTATTCTACTAAGTCTAATTAAATTTGCCATTATTTTTACAGTGTTCAGGAAAGAAGGAGTAAATCTGGTCACTACCGGTCTAGTTTTACAGGAGAAAGCTAATGAGGACCAAACCAGACTTAGTCAAGGGGACACAGATGGTTAATGTGAACAGGTCATGAATGCAAGGGCACCAGGCTTCCTGCCCGAGTGCTCTGAAACTGAAATAAGTATATGCATCTGGAAGAAGCCTGGGTTAAACAGTCTCTGCTGGTTAATAATAAACAAAGAACCATTTCTCAAGGAGGAAATAGATTGCTTAATTTGTCTCAAATTTTGATATTCTTGCAAAATATTTTAAGAGAAAACTATCTTGCTCTTTGTAGGAGCATCTACAGGACAGATTTAAAAAATATTTTATTTATTATTTTTATTTTATGTGTATGACTGTATTGCCCACATGTGTGTAAATGCGCCCGTGTCATGCAGTGCTCATAGAGATCAGAAGAGAGCATC